GAGAGACCGCGTCGTGTTTTTTTGTGTGTGTGTGTGTGTGTGTGTGTGTGTGTGTGTGTGTGTGTGGTGCTGGGGGTTGAACCCAGGACCTTTGGACTGAGCTCTATCCCCAGCCCTCCTTTCTTAAACTTTTTTCTTTTTTGTTTTTTTGAGACAGGGTCTCTCTCTAAGTGCTTAGGTTGCCCAAGCTGGGCTGGAACTTGTGATCCTCCTACCTCAGCTTCCCAGAGTGCTGGGGTTACAGGTATATACCAAAATGCCTGGCTAGGGAACCAGTTTCCATCTTGGCACAAGGTGAGAAGTGGCTCAATGGAGCCGCATCCAGGTCCTTTTTCCTGAAAAGTACCCAGCAGGTTAAGCCGGAGTCCAAGCCACCCTGGAATGAGGGAAAGCAGCGGGGCCTGGCCTGGCACACGACGGGTCCCCTGCAAGTACAGGGCGGCTCTGAACTGCCCCCAGCCTTCCGCTTCCGCTTTAGTTTCTGGCTCACAGTGGATATTTCTCATCTGGATCAGGACCCACTGTCCCACACACACTCTGTGGCCCCACTGTTCCTGCCACCGGCCCTTGGAACGTACCCAGGAAATCACACAGCGGCTGGTCCAGCACCTTCAGCAGTAGCAGGAGCTGCCCCAGCTGCCGCTTCATGGTCTCCTGACTCTCCTCAAAGTTCCCGTGCTGCAGGGTGCAAGGGAGGTTCGTGTGAGGTGCCAGGAACCCCGATTCCACAAGGAGCCGTCTCCACCCCACCATGCACCTCACCACGAGCTCCATGAAGCCGCAGAAACACCAGAACGCATCCACCTCGTTCTGGATGACGTAGAGGATCGGGGAGAGGAGGTCACTCATGCCCTGGACGTAGCCTGGGGAGACACAGGGTCAGTGTGCCGGTCAGGCCCTCAGCACCCTGGAGGGACCCAGCCGGGCCCTGCCCGCCCACTGCCGCACCGAGGTTGAAGTGGTACATGCAGTAGGTGAGGAGGATGTCGTTCAGCAGGCCCAGCCCAGGGTTCTCAGGGCCCTCGTAGAACTTGTTGGTCCTGTCAGTGCGGCTCACGTCTCTCTCTGGTGAAAGTGTGAGAAAGGCAAGGGGTCTCCAGGGCTCACTCTGCGGGCAGGAACCATCCCAACCCTTCCGCCACAAGGTCCCCGCTTCCCCCAGCTTGCCGCAGCCTCCCACGGTGGGGTCAATTGAGGAAGTCAGGTTCTCCTGGCCAGAGCTGCCTCTTCACCCCAAGGCCGCCTTCCCTTCTCACCCCTGGCCTGTCTCCCAGCCATTCCCGCCTCTGCTCACCCCACTCCCTCCCGAGGTGACCCCCACCCGACACCCACCAATGAGGCTGCGGTAGCCGTGCAGGAGTGAGTTCCTCCGCTCCTGCTCTGGGCTCACGGACTTCCACTGAAGCTTCATGCGGAAATACTCGTCCCTGCGGGCAGAAGAGAGCAGGAAGCCCCTGGAAAGAAACTCCCCACCGGCGTGCTGCCTCATCCTGGTCACCCCAGGACTCTGCCCTGACCACACAGAGCCAAGCCTGCCAGCAGGACACTCTTGTCACCACCCTTCCTCTCCCCACTGCTGGCCACACAAAAGACGATCGTGTGGGCTTTAGTTGAGGGGTTCTGTTGTTGTTGTTTGAGATGGGGTCACACTGTATAGTTCAGGCTGGCCTCAAACTCTCAGTGCGCCTGCCTCAGTCTCCCCAGTGCTGGGATTACGGGTGTGCACTACGCTTGTGTGGGTTTTTAGTGAGAATCTGTCACCCCTGCTGGACAAAGCGTGTCAGGGACTGGTACAGCTGGGCTCTGCAGATGTGGCTGGACACACGAGCATTGAGGTGAGGGGCCCTGAGGGGTCAAGGCAGGGGCCTCACAGGGCAGGGGCATCCTGGGAATGCGGGGCCACATTTCCCCACTCACGTTTTTTTGCGCACGTAGGCCCTGTGCTCCTCGGCTGAGCCCTCCCAGCTGAGGTAGCCCAGGAGAAACTTCCAGGCCTCACGCCGCAGGCTGGGGCTCAGACCCTGGGATGGAATGGGACAGACAACTCAGCGGGCCTCCTGGCTGCCCACCGACCCCGCCCTGCCCAGCTGTGCTCACCCCCGAGAAGATCCGGTTCTTCAGCTCAGAGACCTGCTGCAGGCGGCCCTCGGGGCCCACGTGGCGGGCCCACTCCTCCTCTGTGACTGGAGGGGTGCGCTCCACAGCCGGCCGCGGTCCCAGCTCCACCTGCGACATGGGGTGGCCCCAACCCTGTCTCAGAGACCATGGTGCTCAGTCACCCCCAGGCAGGAAGGTCCCCTGAAAGAGCAGCCAGGGGGCACCAGAGCCTGGCACAGCCTCATCAGCTTGCCCTGAGTCACCCCTGAAGCGACCCCGGGAAGACAGGGCTGCTACTGTCCCTAAGTCACCAAGAAGGAAGTGCAGGCCCAGGGAAATGAGGTCCCCTGCCCAGGTGACAGTCAGGAAGTCAGAGGGAGGGTCCATTCCACACTCACACAGGAGATGACCTCAAACCCAGGCTCATCATCGGGTGGGGGGCGAAGGTCAGGGGAGGAGGCCCCCTCGGAGTGTGGCTGCAGGGCTCCCCGAAAAAAGTTGGTCACTCGGGAGAAGCTGCTGAAGGTGGTGGAGTAGGGGTCTTGGAGGAAGCGCTGGGGACAGGGATGAAGGTTGTCATCGCTGCCCCCTCAGGTCTCACCCTGCCCAACGCCCACCCTGTCAGGTCCAGGGCCGAGGACACTCACAGAGACCACGTTGGAGCTGTCCTGGTCAAAGAGCTGCAGGTGGTAGAAGGAGTTGGAGAGGGCAGAGGAGTCATGGGGAAAGACAAGGTAGAGGCGGGAGTCCTGTGGGGAGCTGGGCAGCAGGAGGGGACACACGGGTTACACAGTGGCAGAGAGCATGGTGTCCAGGGCTGTCCACACCAATCTGTGCCAGTGGCAGTGTCCCACCTGCTCCCGGGGAATTCCTCATCTCTGGTGTTACTGCTGGGAGACCAGAGCTGGACCCTGGGGGTTGGCACATGACCCATGCTGGCCAATGAGAGCCTTCCACTTCCCTGGCCAAGGTGACTGACTCAAAGATGAACCAATGAGAGACAGCCTTAGGATTCTGTAGGAACTGTGACAAAAGTGATGTTTTCTACCCACTGAGGTTGCTAAGCCAGGGTTGCTGGTGGTCCAGGCCCCAGAGGGGAAAAGAGGAACCCTTTCTAACACTCTGGCCCTGGGATCTGGGAAGGCAGTATTATGGGACTTCTCAATTACACGTGCCAGTTGCTTCCTTTCTTCTTCCTTTAAGTCACCCTGCAGGGCTGGGGATTTAGCTCAGCGGTTCTGCCCCAAGCGCAAAGACCCGAGTTCGATCCCCAGTACCAAAAAAAATAAAAATCACTCTGCAGTTGTGCTTCTTTGTCAGCCCTGAGGAGTCAGGCCTGGGAGCAGGCTCACCTGGCCAGCAGCAGGTAGCGGCTAAGAACTCGGAGCAGGGCTCGGGTGCCGCCACGGTGGAAGTGCAGGGCAGGCAGGGAGCCTCCAGCTTGGGTCACCAGCACCAGGTAGGCCCAGCTAAGGCCTGGCTTAGACCGGCGGATGGACTTGAGCTCCGCCAGACTCACTGAGAAGGCCCACTGGCCCCGGGGGGAGCTGGGCTCTGTTCCTAGGCAGACAGCACCATGTCAGACACGGTTGGGAGGCCAGCAGCCACCAGTTCAAGGGAGGACACTCCACCAGCACGGCTCGCTCTAGAGTCCCCACCACAAGCCACCCCCAACATGCTGGCCTCTGGGAACTCATACCACTCCCCACTTCCTCAGAATCACAGCTGAATAAAAAGGGAAGGAACCCTGGTGGATGTGTACCCATTCCACCCTTCCAGGAAGCTTATATTCCTCAACTTGGCACCCAGGGCCCCTCAGGTCTGTCCCTGCTCCCTGCCTATTTTATCTCCAACCCTGTCTGTTCTAGATCCCAACTCAAGCCACAACAAAAGCCTGGGGGCTTTTCCACAGGTTTCTCTCTCTAGTGGGAGAAAAACTCAGAAGAGCTAAGCTCTAGTACCACCTCTTCCTGAAAGGCCTCTCTCCCCAGAGGGGTCTACCACCTCCTCTAGATGCCCCACACCCTCTGTGACTCCAGGATAGCACAAATAACCCTGTGACTGCTTCATCTGTCACCTTTGACAGAGAAGAAACTTTCAAGAGTAGGACTCATGAGGGTGCCCAGAGACAACCTACTCCACTCTCCTGGAAAAGAAAGGTAGTGCCAGGTGGCCATCTTGACTGTGGGCAGCAAAGCCTCTGGAGCCATGCCCAGTGAGGGCAAGATGTGTCCTACTGCCCCTCAGGGGCACCAGCTCATCCTACCTCTGGCAGGCTCTGATTGGTGGAGCCGTGGCCGCACAGTACTGATGACAGCCCAGTCAGGTTCATAGCCAGGGTCAAAGGTGGGTTCTTCCTCAGAGGGGTAGGGGTCACCCCCACTGGAGTCCTTGGGAGAAGAGAGGACAGTACGAGCTATGGATTCAAGGGTGCCAGATCAGAGCCCTGAGGCCTCACCAGAAGGAAGCCCCCCTGAACAAAGAAAGCATAGCACTTGCTCTAGGTCACCAACACAGCCAGGGATGAACCAGGATTCAAACCCAAGTCTCCCAGTGCTTGGAGAGAGAAATGGTACATAGTAGGCAGCTCTGCAGTGGGACTGCATGAGGCCATGGTGCTTAAAGCAAACTGCAAGTACTCATTAGGGAAGCCCAGGTCTAAACCATGGGAAGATCCTACCTCATGCCCACCAGAACAGCTGGGACCAAAGACAGACAGCAATATGTGCCATCGAGGACCAAGAGAAAGCGGAACCCTCACACACTGCTGATGGGGTGTAAGATGGTGCCGCAGCACTGGAAAACAGCGGGGCTGTTTCTCAAAATGTTAAGCAATGAGCCAGCAATTCCACTCATACAGATATGGCCACAAGTAATGAAAGTGTGTCCACAGAAAAAGACAAGCGGTCAAAACAGCACAGCCAATCACAGACTACAGCTGGAAACAAGCATGAGGAAGCAAAACATCCCACGTTCCACAAACATGAAGGAATAAAGTAATGCACAACCTTGTGAATATGCCTAACTATGCACTTTTAAACTTTTTTCTTTTTTTGAGATAGGGTCTCAGTATAGTCCAGGCTGGCCTTGAACTTGTAGCAATCCTCCTGGCTCAGCCTCCCAAGTATTGGGATTACATAAATTTTTAAAAACTTTACTATAAACTTGGATTTTCATGGTAAGTGAAATACATCTTCTTTTATTAGTACATGTTTGTCATACACATTAAATACACTTCTCTTGGAGAGTTGGGAATTATATCTCAATTAAGGGAAAAAGTGGTTTGCTCATAAACAGTGACTGTTGTCATCACTGCTAGCTTGGGAGGAAGGACTCAGACAAATGGTGCCAGGGCTGTGGTGCTGCTGACAATCCCTGGAGGACAGGAGGGGGACAAAAGTGTGTGAGAACCGTGGAGGAGGGAGCAATCCAGGGAGCAGCCTCAAGCTGATGGGAGCAGACCCCTCAGAAAGCCACACCTTCCAGCAGCTGGAACCCCCAGGCTGCACTGTCCCTCCGCATGCTGGCAGAGCACCTTGCTTTCCTTAAGTGAGCAACTGCAACCCGCTTCACCCAGAAAAAGCAGCTCAGAGTTGAGAGGTCTAGGCGCCCAGCCACCCCAAGGCAAGCTACTTCTGCAATCCTGGGATTGCGGTTCTCACTGCCTTAGGGAAGAGCCTACCTTCTTGGAGAAGAGGATTTGGGTGGAATCTCCAGCCTCCTCCACAGGAGCCCAGTGCAGGAGGACGTCATTGTCCTGAGGGAAGTGGAGAGGGTCAGGGGGCTCCCCAAACCACTTAAAGCTTTTTGCTGCAATTTCCAAACTTCTGCAATCTCCACGCTCAGCATTCCAACGCCTCGTCCCTCATAGCAATTCCCACCCCAGCCTTCTGAGTTTCCAGCGCTGACCTCCACAAGAATCCTACAAATACTGCCTCAATCCCAGCCCTGCTCCCTCCAGGCCCACCTTCTCCACGACACGGATAACGCCGGCGATGAGGGAGTCTGGGTCCTGGTGCTTCCGGGCGCTGGTGTGCAGGTAGACACCTCCCTTCTCAAACACCACCTGGGGGCGGGAACCAGACAGGACCCGACCCCTACAGAGAAGTCGCGCAGCGGTCGGAGCCAATAGAAGCGGGCCAGGGGAAGAAATATAGCCGGGGGGGCGGGGCCCACAGACGTTCTCAGGGGAGACCGGGGCGTGGTGGCGCCCAGCGTTCTGTTGTGGGCGTGCATTCCAAAGGGGGCGGGGCTAAAAGATAAGTCTCCCTCTGGACAGTGGAGCGTGACAGCGCGTTTGTAGGGAAATGGCGTTTGCTATGGTTCTGCCTGGTTCCCAAAGCCCCAGCGCGGCGTTACAGAAAAGCAAACCACGGGTCCAGGGTGCACCGTACAGACGGAAGCGAGGGAATGGGTTCTGAATACTTACTCGGTAGCCAGATCCTTCCATAGCCGCCGCCAAAGCACCACTATCCCGGCCGCCTCCTTTTCCGGGTCAACGTACTGTCACATCCGGAAAAGATATTCCCCTTCGAGGTCATAGAGTGGTAGAGCCCTTACCATTCTAGAGCAGGAATGGGTGAAGCCATCTTGCAGGACAGGGTAGGTGAACCTGAACAAGTTCAAGTCATGTGGCTCTGTACAGTCGGCCAGCGAAAGTGCGCAGGCGCAGTGCTTCTACTCTCCCCACCAAGTAAACAAATGGGAGGGACCAAAAGCTCCACCTCTCCTCGGAACGCTCACTTCTCCATACTGTATTCTGGCAACGAAGCCATAAAGGTGCCATTGTATTCGAGGGCAGGGCATTAGCGGGTCCGCAGAGGCCATGTTCATGCGGGGCAGTCTCATCTCCCTGCGGGGCGCTACAGCGAGGTGCTGGAAAAGAGGAGAACATAAAGGAAAAGAAGGTGAGAGGAACTATACCTCAGAAGAAGTGCTGAAGTTTCCGGAATAACGCGACGAAGCCGTCATTGCCAAGGAAGCTGCCCCAGGCGAATTCCTGAGTAACGGGGGGGGGGGGGGGG